AAACTGTTTTACTGTACCCTCGTAATTGGAGGTGCAAATGGTTAAGCATTCAACTACTAGCCTAAAGGTTGGAGGTTCAAACACACCCATTAGCACTTCAGAAGACAAGCCTGGTGATCTTCTTCTGAAAATCCTATGAAGCGCAGTGGAGCTCCACTCCGCATACAAGTGGTCTCCAGGAGTTGGAATCAGCTTGACAGCAATTAACAATACTGTGTGATTTTGTGTGATCACTAAGTCCCGAGTCCAGAATACTGCCTGGTACTCAGTAAACCTTTGTTGACTCCAAGTACACGACAGTAAAAGGAGATGCTCAGAGATGGGGCATCTGGACCATATGTGGATATGATTCAGGGCCCTTCTGAGAGCAAACTGCTGATGAAAGATCACCACCAGTGAGGCAGGAAAGCTGATGTGCTTTACAAGTTTACCTCATCTTACATCCTCCCCTGGAGCAAGGTGGCAGGACAGGTGGGCACACCTGACTGTGACCCTCACAAATAAGAACATGAACTAAAGAAGGTGGGGCTTCAAGATTGGGTAAGACAGCAAGTAGGCCTTTCCTTTCTCCCCATAGCCCTGGACCTTTCCCACGTTCTATTAGAACACAAGGAAGCAGAATGAAATTTCTGGCCTCACGTGGAGGACTCATGACTGAGACAGGTTTATTTCTGGGTCTACATCAGGAATTTGTACAGTGGAAAGTGGACAATATTTGACAGGGACTGCAAATCCAAATGCCTTCAGAGCCTTGGTAGATAAAAGCAAGTTAAATTAGCTGTAATGAAAGTCAGTGGGAGTGCTAAAAGCTGTGTCTAGACAAAGAACAAATGACTCACCAATAGGCATTCCAGTGTGACTCAATTAAAAAATATTATCAAACCTGTAAAAGCCAGAATCTATGAAAGGCAGGAACCTGATGCAGAAGAAAAGCTCTAAGATTTCCCTTAAAAGAAGTAAAAGAAAGTGATAAGACAGCACCCTGTCAAGGGCAGAAAATCTGTGAGCTCTTGAAAAACAAGGTGGTTTCCTTAAGTTCCCCTCCGAGAGGTTTCACTGTATTTGGGGCTGAATTTGACATACAGGTGATACTTTGCTGCTTCTAACAAAGTAGCAAACCTGACTTGAAGCAAATTTCCTAAGGTGTCTGATCCTCAGGATGCTCATCTATAAAAAACCAGGAAAGACAAGCTTACTTGCTATATAAGAGCTACTAGGAAAACCTATGGAGATGGGCAGTGCATGGCACAGGCGGGAGGCAGCTTTGCCAGGAGGTGCCAGGGGAGGGGGGAACTAGTTGTCCCAACTGTGCCGTGGCCTCCCTGCATGTCTTGCTGCCCCTTGTCTGTGGCAAGCTGCTTGCCAGTGCACTCCTTCACCTCAGATGCCAACTTCACAGAGAAGAAGGGAAGAGCAACCACATGGGACTGATCCGGCTGGACTGGCTCAAGACACCCAGTGCAACTGCCTGATGGAAGAGTTGAACCAGGCACTGGAGGCCTTCGAGGGGGACCTGGCTGTGGGGGGCATTGTCCTCACCGGTGGGGAGAAGGTCTTTGCAGCAGGAGCCAAAAATGCATCAAGGAGATGCAGAACCAGACATTCCAGGACTCTACTCAGGAGGGTTCTTGAGCCACTGGGATCGACTGGCTGGTGCCAGGAAGCTGGTGATCTCTGCTGTCCACGGCTATGCACTGGGCAGATGGAGGCTGTGAGCTGCCCAGGATGTACGACGTCATTTATATAGGGGAGAAGGCACTGTCTGGACAATCTGAGATTCCCCTAGGAGCCATGAGCACACGAGTTTCACACCGGCTGTCAGAAAGTCTCTGGCAATGGAGATGGTCTTAATGGTTCACTGGATCTGAGACCAGGAGGCCAAGCAGGAAGAACATACAAGAAAGATTTTTCCCTTTGAGACCCTAGTTGAAGAAGTGTGCAGAAAAAATTGCGAACAATTCTAAAATTGTGACAGCACTAACCAGCAATGAATGCAGCTTTTGAAATGACATTAAGAGAAGGAAATAAATTGGAGAAGAAACTTTTTTATTAAACGTTTGCCATTGACAACTGGGATGACTGCGTTCCTGGAGAAGAGAAAGGCCAACTTCAAAGACAACTAACTGACTTGCCTTAACCCTTTCCTAAGGAAGACAATAAATCTGTCAGTTTGAGAAGCAAACAAATTGTTTTCTCTGGAAGGACGTGTGCTGTCAGTGACATGCAGTTTCTATATGACATGTGTGCTGCGGGCTCTGTGGCCACAGGGATCCAGTGTTGTGAGGTCCAGGCCCTGGCTCCTCCCAGGTCCAGGATCCATTCTCTCCTAGCAGTTATGATGATATTCTTCTAAGTCAGATTCCGGTGTGCCTAAATATTTGTGCTTGATTTCTGGAACTAAGAGAAGTTTCCATTAAAATGGTCAGTTTGTATACAGCACATTGTGTTCAGACAGAAAGCACACGTGTAGGGTTGTAAAATCGGAGCTGCCCAGGGGGACACTTCTTTGATACCCTAAACAAACACACAGTGAAGTGGGGGGAAGAAAAAGAAAGAAAATCTATGGAAAAACACGCTGATTTGACAGATGTGGCACACTATCCCAGTTAAAACCACTGTTGATAGGACTTTTTAAAAGAGGCTGTACAATTGTCACTGGTAGGAATGTATAAAAGAAACCCCAAATCATTCCACCACACCTTGTCACTCCTAGCCAGTGGTTGGAACGATGCACACAGACACACATAGACCTTGCTTTTCTTACTATGGTGGAGTCCTGGTGTACTGCTACAAGGTAAGCACTAGACTGCTAATTGTGAGGTCGGTGGTTCAAATACACCACCTGCTCCTCAGAAATCCTATACAGCGTTGCTATGAGTCAGAACCAACTCAACAAGAAGCAAGTAGGACTGTGTATACGTGTATAAACACACATTCACACACATGCACATATATATATGTTGTTGTTATTATGTGCTGTGGAGTCGATTCCAACTCATAGTGACCCTGCACTGGGTTTCTGAGGCTATAAATCTTTACGGAAGCACAACACCTCATCTTTCTTCCATGGAACCACTGGTAGTTTCGAACTGCTGACCTTGAGGTTGGCAGCCCTACTTGTAACCACTACGCTACCAGAGCTCCTTAGTGAAAGCTTTAGTACTGGGTAAAAGAACAAATTAGACCATGGAAGTGGGCTACTATCAGAAGAACAGTAACCCTATAGCTAAGTCATCAACATAAGGAGCTCTGGTAGCATAGTGGTTACGAATTGGGCGGCTAACCTCAGGACCAGTAGTTTGAAACTACCAGCTGTTCTGTGGTAGAAAGATGAGGCTTTCTGCTCCCATAAAGATTTGCAGCCTTGGAAACCCTGCGCAGGGTCACTATGAGTCAGAACCGATTCCAATGTACTTAACAACAGACAATTCCTTGGCCCACATTCTTGGCCATATCTCTCTCACTAGGGAAAGAATAGAAATTGTGACTAATGATCAGGATGCAGCCTTACATACCTACAGCCCTGCACACAAAGTCTTGGGATAGTGACACCAGCCAAGGTAGAGAAATTCTGAAGCAAAAAGAGGATTCTAGGTCTACAGGATTCTAGGTCCTCATGCTGGTAGGGTATTCCCGAGGACTGATGTGTCTTTCTCTGCCACCTCTATGTAAGAAGACAAGAAGGTGCCACAAGCAATTTGAACACACACTCCCCCACAAAACAAGCTGTGAAAAGTCAAAGAGACACAGTTGTTTAGTTCAAAGTGTCCTCCCTTCCTGTCCTACCCCAGGACATCCCACTAGCTAAAAGAAAAAGAGTCAAATGCCTAAGGCTTGCTAGAGGACTTTTTCTTCCCATTTGTAATTTCTGTAGTACAGCATTGGTCTTTGAATCATCATTACCCAGGGGGCCATTCAGGGCTACCTTGAGTTAGCAAGAGGCATCTCCAAGGACCTCACTGAGGCACAGGCTGCCAGGGCTACCAGATGACCAGAGGTGAGACAGGCAGGGCCCATACTGCCTTACAAGAAAGCTTCTGCTAAAAACCTCAGCAAAGCATCTTGGTCATGGTAGGGGAAAAAAACTGAACCTTCCCCTTGCTCCCTCAAAGAAGTGGGGGTAAGAAGGGGGAGGATGAAGTGAGCATCTGGGCAGAGGAGACTAAGAGATGCAGTCTTGATCTTTGAGTTCAACTCAGGTCAGCCAAAAAGAGATAAGAGTGTGGTGAGCACTGCTCAGCCAGGAGGTAGAGTTTTTAAAAAGTAGTTTGCTTAGCCCAAGGAGTCTTGGTGTGGTGCTCTAGGATAAGCACTGGACAGCAAGGTCACTTTGAACCGCAAGGTCGGTGGTTCAAACTCACTAGCCGCTCCTTCCCAAACTCTATACAGGGTCCCTATGAGTCAATAACAATCACCTAGTTCAAAGAGTTCTGGTGTAGTAATATGAGCACTGGATTTCAAACCCACCAGCCGCTCCTTGGAAACCCTACACCAACTCAATGGCACCTAACAACAACAACCTAGTTCAAAGGATAGGAGTGGAAGGTCTGAAAAGGGGTGGTGGAAGGACAAATATCAGTGAGAGGTATGTGTTCCAGCCTGTGTGACTGAGGGGCAGAAAAGTTAAAGGTCACAGGGTTACTAGGCCAAGTGTGGTCCCTAAGGTCAATGTGGGGGAGGAACAAGAGGCTAGTGGCAAACGGGGGTGGGGTGGGTACTAGAAACCGGTATTGGAGGAAAGGAAGGGACAAACACAGCTGTGCTCAGCGAAGTTGGGGACTTGAGGGGAGGAGAGGGAGCCACAGCAGATAGGCCACTATGGAGAGAAGCGCTAAAACACACGCGCCGCCTAGCGTCCCAGCCGGGATTTAGCCCCACTCCCGTCCGCCTTTAAAGCTCCACCCCAGCTCCGCGCGCAGCTCCGGGACCGCCGGGTTCCCTTTTGTTGCGCGGCCCTTAAGTTCCGGTTGTGGCGTGCAAGCGGAAGGTTTTTACCGACGGATCATCGCCGGCGATGGGCGCGGGGTGAGTCGGGGAGGCGGGGGCTTGGAGCTGTCTTTCGTTGCTTGTTGGGACTGTGGATCAACGGGTTAGGGTCAGGAACAGCATGGGGCGAGCGACCGACCTTCCCGCTGCCTTGGCGGCCGTCTCGCGCCGCCTATGAGACGCTAGTTCCGCGGCCTATTCCCGGCCTCCCCACGCTGCATGGCTCCGAGTGTAGTTCTGCGTTAACCTGATGTCAGCCCCCAACCAGGCCCCCTCCCCTGCCTCTTCTAAGAGACGTCCAGATCTCAGATTTTGGGGATGGATTTTACTATAAAAATACATTCCCAGATGCTGTCCAATGGCAGGCCGTTTAGAGATGAAGTTGCAGCTGGGAACTTGAGAAAGACCCTTCAGGTCAGAAATAAGGCTAAGTGGGAATCCTAATGTGAATGGATAGGGGGTCTAGATATTGAAGTGGAATCACGCTTTGAAGTCAAAACAGCTGAGAATCAATTCTTCCTGAATGAGCTAATTACCACCTTCAGGAACTAGTTATAAATGTGTAGCTGATGAGAGGCTTGTTGTTGAGAAAGAAGACCCCTGGTTGCCTTAAGCATTGTATGTAAGCAGTATAAAAGGGGAAAGGATGGGAATAGAGAGATTAGGATCAGAATTAACCCAAATAAGAAATACATTGTATTCTTGTAAAATTGTTAGAGGTAGATGGATGGGTATTCTTGATCAGGCCAAGAATGCTTGAGTGAACCGTTCTTAAAATTAAGTGCGCTCTCCTTAATTTTTGTACATCTAACCTGAATACTAAATTAATATCACATGGACTTTACTTTTGGGGGTGGGCACATGAGCACCACCAGTCAGTAGAAAGAGCCAACTTAATATGCTTCGGAGAAGGTAAGACTGCCAGCTCTGGTACCCATTCCTACAGCAGATTTCAGGGGCCAGAGGGCTTTCTTACTTAGTACTTTCTGTGTATCTTGTTTCCCATTCTTCTTAAAGGTGAGAATGGTACTCCGTAGGCTTCCGTGCATAAATGGAACTACTATTATTTGTTGTTGTATAGGAACTGGATAAATTCCCTACTTAGCCAAAGGGATAGTTGTTCCTGTTGGTTGCTGTCAAGCTGATTCTAACTCATGACAACCCCATGGTACAGAATAGAACTTCGTAGGGTTTTCTTGGCTGGAATGTTAACAAAAAGAAATTCTGGTGACACTGGAGCTGTAGGATAAGCACTGGGCTTCGAACCACAAGTTCAGCAGTTCAAACCCACCAATTCCTGGGGGGGGGGGGGGAATGAGGATTTCTGCTCCAGTAAATATTTATAGCTTTGGGAACCTTACATAGAGTCCTTATGAATCAGTATCGAATCGTAGCAGTGGGTTTGTTTATTTTTATTTATTTATTTTTTTTGAGTCTTCACAGAAGCATTGTCAGGACTTTTCTCCCATAGTCTCTGTGTTGTTGTTGTTGTTGTTAGGTGCCATCAAGTCGATTCCGACCCATAGCGACCCTGTGTAGGGTTTCCAAGGAGCAGCTGGTGAGCTTAAACCACTGACGTTGCAGTTCAAACAACTTTGCAGCCTTATGCATTAGCTCACAGCGCCACATCGGTCCCTCTGGGTGAGTTTCAACTGCTAACCTTTAGTTTAGGTTAGCAGTCCAATGCAAACTGTTAGAGCCACCTAGGAACCTAAAGGCATAATTGTCATTAGGTGACATTGAGTCATTGTTAATTCATAGAGACCTTGTGTGACAGTAGAACTGTAAACTAGGCTGTAAACTACAGAAGGAACCCTGGTAGCACAGTGAGTAAAGCACTCTGGTGAACTAAATGGTCATTGGTTTGAACTCACTAACTGCTGTGCAAGAGAAAGATACAGCATTCAGTTTTTGTAAATATAGCTCTGAAAGCTCTGTGGGAAGTTCTACCCTGTCCTCTGAAGTCACTATGTCACTATGAGTCAGAATTGACTGGATGGCAGTGTGTTTTAAAAATTTTATGAGACCACATCATCAAGTGTTTCTCTTGCAGAGCCACTGGGTGAGTTCCAATTGCCAAACTTAACTATAATGTTGCACCCACCAGGGCCCCTTAAAGGCATAGTTGTCCCTGGTGTCTCTGTTTGAATGAGGAGATGAAATGTACTTTTGGTGTTGATACAAAAGATTAATGCTATTCTAGTAAAGGTTAGGTATCAGATTCACTCACCATTGTCAGATATTTATTGAGCATCTACCATGTGCATTTTTCTGTGCTAGGTTCTGAGGAGACATTAGTGGACAAAATCCATCATTGGCCCTGCCCTTAACAAGAGTTGTTAAATGTCAAGTCGGTTCCAACTCACAGTGACCCTGTATAAGGTTTCTGAGGAGCAGCTGGTGGGTTTAAACTGCAGACCTTGTGGTTCACAGCCTAGTGCTGATGCACAGCGCCACCCCAGAAGTCCCCTTAGTGAATATATGGTCTAATATAGTGAAGTAGAACTAATATGATACAGGACCTCCGTCTTTGAATAACATAGCTAAATTCCAAAAGGAAATAAAAGACTGAGTATTCCAAATAGTTAATTCACCTAAACGCATGCATATTACCCTAGAAAAAACCCACAGGCTCTCAGTTGTTGTTGTTGTTGTTAAGTGCCATTGAGCCAGTCTGACTCATAGCAACCCTGTATAGGGTTTCCAGGTAGTGACTGGTAGGTTTGAACCACCAACCTTATGGTTCAAACCAACCTGCAGCACCACACCTGTACTTTACCTTGGACACAATTTTAACTTGACTGTCTGGCTTTCTAGCTCACAGCAACTGCGAAGCAGAAAATTAGAAAGAGGGAAGATTACAGAGAATTGCTGAGAAAAGTAGAACATAAACTGATAGTCTCAAATTTAATGATAAAAAGGAGCCATTAAAATAGCACAACAGTACCGTGCACTCCATTGAATCTAAGGCCATGCTCCTTTGTATGTTCTGCACAGTACTTGTTCCATGAAATGTTAACAGGATTATGGAGAGGTTAAATGGGCAACACGAGTTAGCAAATTACACAGGATTCTTTGCTGCGGAACTTCTGAGTCTTTAAGAAGACCTGAAATCACTTTTGTTGGAGCATCTCTCCAACACATTGCTCTGCAGCAACAACTTGGGAAATGATAGAAAGTAAAATCAGGGTAGCACTGTGCTGGCCGGTGGTGTGCCAAATGTTCATAAAGAAGGTAAATTATGTCTAACATTACTGCAGAAAAAAAGCATGCATTTTTAATTCTATCTAAATTCCTAAACACTTTGAATTCTAAGGAGTCTTTAAAAATAATTGTTGTCAAGTGCCATCGAGTTGGTTCTGACTCATAGCAACACTATATAGAGTTTCTGAGGAGCAACTGGTGAGCCTGAACCGCCGACCTTGTGGTTCAAACCAACAGCGCCACACTAATTCTCCCTTTAAAGTAATAGTTCTTGTTTCATCTTTTTTGATGTTGGATACATGAGACATTACTGTATTTGAAATGTGTCTGGTCATTGTGTGGTAAACAAGGCTTTTTCTGTTTGACCTGAAACCCTAACCCCCATTTATAACATTATTTCCATGACTCAGTATGTTCTGAGTTCCCAGTACACTACCTACAAATGGAATTTCTGAATATCAGTATCTGTTATTGGGCAGTATACTAAAATAAGAAATCTAGCCACTATTAAGTGTTTTGAAGTGAATGCTAAAAAAGAAATTAATAACATTAAATTTCTGAACTGTTTATATCCAACTAGCCTTTTCTAATTGTGTCTATATATGTTGTTATTGTTAAGTGCCTTCTAGTGGGTTCCGACTCATAGCAACCCTGTATAGGGCTTCTAAGACTAAATCTTTGCAGAAGCAGAAAGCCTTATCTATCTCCCACAGAGCGGCTGGTAGATTCAAACTGCTAACCTTGTGGTTCACAGTGCAGTGCTTTTCCTCTGGATCCACCATGCTTCCATGTGTGTAGGTGTGTTTGTGTATTTTGTTAAGTGTTTTCGGGTCAGTTATTGCTGAAAGTCGGAACTGACTCCACAACAGTGTTTCTGAGGAGCGGCTGGTGGGTTTGTGCTTATCCTACAATGCCACACCAGGAGACACACACACACACTCTCTCTCTCCTTCTATGGGTTTATATATAATGTGATTTGGGGGTCTGGGGGTACTCCTGGTGTAGGATAAGCACTAGATTGCTAACCACAAAGTCAGGTTCAAACCCACTAGTTGCTCCTCAAAAAATCCTATACAGGGTCACTATTAGTTGGAACCGACTCGATGGCACTTAACAACATGATTTTTATGAAATTGTAATCCGTGTATGCATACAAACCTGTTGTGACCTGCGTTTCTCAGAGTATAATACCTTATATAAATATTTCTGATAGCTACATATGTGTTATTTTAAATGTCTATAGGATAGTTCCTGTGTCAGTAGACTAATCTGCATAATAATAGCATAGCAGCAAGCTGTTTCCTCATGCACAGATCTGTATTTCTGTGAACCTTTCTCTTTATTTTGAGCACAGAAATGTTTTCTTCCTGCTGATTTTCTCAATCTATAATTTTCCATTTCAATCCTCAATCCAAAATTTTCTTCAATTTTTAAAAACTCTGTTTATTCCATTGCTACATTTTGATTTTTAAATACAACATCACGAGAAAATTTCAGCTTTTATACATACTCTGTAATTTTGTTCTTTCAGTTCAAGTGCTGACCAGTCTATGTGAAATGAGTATATTAAGGAAGCTAAAAATGTATGGCTTTTTTCATGCTTAATGATTCCTAGCTTTGTCTAATTTGGATTATCACTTTACCCGTCCCTCTTTCATTTTTACATTGTGCATTCATTTTAATAAAAGCAAGGGCAGAAAGCAACAGAATAATTAGATATTTGCACAACTGCTGCTGTATTGATTAAGACGGTGGTGATGCCTAAAAAGAACAGTGGATTGTCAGATGATACCATCATATGTCAGCTGCAATGTTGCTCAACAAATGTTGAGATGGTGACGTTGGAGTGTTTATTGTGTTGTGTTGTATAAAAGTTGCATATGAAAGTCAAGGGCTACCTGGCTTTAATGTATATTTGTTTGTTTTTAATAGGACCGCTTCATATCGTCTTTGATGTGGCCATTTAGTAGTGAGTGATTCTCGGAGTTGTTTTCCTGGTGAAGTAAGCTATTAGTTTCCCTTCCATTGAGTTCTCTGCATATTTGACCTATGTTGTTGTTGTTAAGTGCC